GATGGCGCCAGCGTCTCTCCGGTGGCTGAGCTCTCCTCCGGCCGCCCCTCTTCTTTTTCTTCGGTCAGGGTGTCGGCTAGGGTTTTGGGGAGCCGGTCAAGAGAGATTTAAATACCTATTCTTTTTCAATCGGGGTTGTCCGTGCGAGTCCACGTAGATTAATGAAGGTCGTCCGATCACACTTATTTGGGAAATGCATCCGGACCGTTCGATTGGAGACATGCGAGCTATTTGAGCCTATTCAGAGAATCAATATGGGTCGTTCGCGCGCGCGAGAGTGACTCCAAACCGTTCGATCGGTTTAACACGTGGATTGTCAGTGTAGCTTCCCGTGTGGAGCCTGTGTCGGCGTGTCCGCCACACGGCATGAGACGATTCGTCGTGCTGCTGACTAGGCGTCCACGTAGCCTTTTTCTTCCTTTTCGCGAATTAACCCGTCCTTTTTGAATTTCTTTTTAAATAGGTTCTTCTTTATTCTCAGTTTGTCTCCAATTTTTAAAATTGTTTTTAAATATGTCCAAAATATATATATTTAAAAAAAAATTAAAATTAAATCTTACACATTATTATTAAAAAAAGATTAAATTTTATCATTTGGAGCCTAATTTTCAGATTTTGGATGTTACAGATGAGACCATCTTCATCGTGGTAGTTGAGAATGTTTGATGTTAGTACTTGAGCAAAAAATTCTGTTTCGACACTCAGGAACCTAAATCGGGAGGGTTTTAGCCTTTGTTTGATTAACCATTTTTTCTTAAATAAGACTCTGCTCAAAGGATTGTCACATCCTCATATCTGGTGGAATTGTGGCAAGAAGTTTACTCTTTGAATATCAGCAATCAGTCAAACCCAGACATGTTATGTAGTGTATTTCTGTGACCATGCTTGGTAGAGTAGCCATGCTAGCTCTTCTTAGACTTCCTATTACTTGCCAAAGAAAAATCTTGGTGAGGTCTCTTTCAGAAAAAATAGTGAAATCTTTTCTTTGTGATCTTTCATACATGCATGTGATCTGATCCATGATGAGTACATAGTGTTCAATGCTGGTTATTTAGGCTCCAGGTGGACCTTCATGGATCAGGGAATAACACTATTTTATGTACAGAAAGTGGGATCTCTATTCCATGATTGTATTTCCCTTATTTCAAATTTCTTACTGTCCCATCTACAAATTCTTCCTGTTGCAAAATTTTCAATTTTCCGGACAAATTAGAGAATCATTACATACTGTTCATATTTTGGAACAAAAATCGACGGTACAATTCAAGAAAAATTAAGAAAAAAATGGCAAATTAAACATGTCTTCAAACCTGAAATCTGGATTCATAAGATTTTCTTACATAGTTGTATAAACTGAAACAACCCACAAAAAATATTTAATAAGCATGATTAAACAATATTTTCATCAATCTTCTTGATCATCTAGTGCTGCTGCTGCTTCTTCTTCTCTAATAGGAGGCTTAGTTGCTATCTTATTTCCTTGCATTATGTGCTGACTGAGACTGGCAAGGAGCCAGGTTAAGCTTGAGTAGCTGAAGTAATGGAAATATTTGATATACTTTTCAAGAAACAGCCATTTTTATGTAGGAGGAGACTGTTGCAGGATAAGTGGCAAAGAAGAGAACCATACATACGCAAATAAAGCCAAGGTCTTCCTTCTACTAGCCGCACAAGGCAAGGTCTCTCTTTGAGGGCTTGAAACTCAGTGCATTTAGGCTGTAGATGCAGAGATTTGGTCGCTTGGCTTTAAATTCTATCTCATCTGTTGTGCTTCCGTAACCAGGAACATTACATGAAGAAGATGAACTCCTGAGTAAGCTCGCTTGACATGAAGATCCCATAGCTGCCTCTGCGCATGACACCCCATCCACTGATGGTATGTCCAACTTGTACATTCCATGTCTGTTTGTTGTTCTGTTCACTGACACTGTTATCTGCTCTCTGGTTCTAGGTGACACTGCTTTGAATCTGCAGTCTATTCTGACCTGTGCACCTGGTTAATTAAAACATGAGAGTACTTAAAAAAAAAAAAACTGTTTCTGTACAGAGCTTGAAATTTTTTTTTAAGGGAAAATTTCAGAACATGAAACCACTACTGGGTTTCTTTTGCTTTATTACCTGGTATGAAGTAGCTGTGGGTGGAGAAACTGTTGTTTGAGCAGATGTCGCAGTAAACGAGACCCATGACTGTGATCTGAGCATAGTTATGACTATGTGCTGGCTCAACTTTGAAAGGCAATGAGAGGAAAAGCGAAGAGGAAAGAGTAAAGAGGATTATGATGATTGGTTTCATGGGAGCCAACTTTGGGAGACAACAATAAACCATAGGCTTCCACATAAACCTTCTCCGAGATGATTTGGGCTTAAAACTGCTCAGCACAAAAAGCAAGCATTACCATATAGTTTAATGAAAGAAGATGGGTTTGTTGTGTGGATAAAGAGGGCCAATAGTTGGTGGAGATCCAACTGTAACCAAAAGTGAACAAGTTTATCTTTTTCACAAAAAACAAAGACATGTGAATGTTCTTTGGCAGTTCTTGATTTTTTTCATGTGTAGGGGAGATAGAAGAGGGTAGCTTCTGTATATAAATTAAGTTACTGTTAATTTGTCAGATTCATGTTGTTTGGGGCTTGAGTTGAAGATATGAATCCCATAATTAAAAAACCCAACAAAATGAAGAAGGAAAAGAGGAGGAAGAAGAAGAAGGAGAAGAAGAAGCAGAAGGAGAAGAAGGAACTCAAAGTCAAGGTATTTAAAGATTACCCATATATGTACATATATAGCACAAGACCAGAAAATCTTCTTCGCTCAGCTTCTCCTACTTGGGCTCTTTGCATCTTTGCAATTTTTATTGACTATATATAGAACTTGTGGATTGTATAGTTGCCTATCTCATTACTTAAAGTTGCTTATTGCATGTGATGAGTGCACAAAGCTGAAGTGAATGCTATGCAACAGTGCATTTATTGCTCATTGATATCGTTGTGAGATGTTCATTTCATCAAGAAGTCTTGTGGGTAAATTTTTTTTGGAAAAAAAAGTTCAATACTTTTGCTCGATTAAAAGCTATTTGGATGGACTTTTTACTTCAAGTGCTTTTAAATGTACAAAACTTTAAGCTTCAACAAACTTTTAAGCATGTAGTACTTTATGCAAGAAAAGCATGTAGTACTTTTAGCTTTTTCCCTTTACTGTCAAACTCTTGATAGCTTGAGTAAGTATTTTCTTTGTTTTTCAGCTTTTCTTGCTAGTTAATTCTATTTCTCTCTTGTAGTGTATCATATATTCTTTAATTTCCTACCCTTGATTGGTTAATCATTTTACCCTCGTATGAAATCTTTGGCCTTTTATATTGAATTTCTATATAATCATAGTTGTTTAAATATTAACATTTACTAGTAAAAAACTCACTTTTGGTAATTAATATTTTAATTTTTTAATAAAAATTTATACATTTCATGATATATATACACAATAACTATAAAACAATTTTATAAAGATAATAAGTAAAAGTTACAGTTTCATTTGAATTTATAACATTTTATAAAGAATTCTTACATCTTAACATTTTTTTTAAAGATATTTTTATGAATCTCAAATGAGTTAAAAAATAACACGTTAATAATGCATCTTGTGTTGTTGAAATTATAATGATCAACTTAAATTAAATTTTAATAAATTTAAAAAAAAATTAGAGTGATTAAATTTTTTTAATTAAAATAATTCCGATATATTAAAAATTTTATTTCATTTTTTTTTTATAGAAAATATATATAATAAAATATGTTAAATCAACCGTGAAAGGACAAAAAATTTTATATCGTTTTGAACCTGATTAAAATGATGTTTAAGATTTAACTAGATGTTTGAGTTGCTATTTTACTATAAAAACTTAACCTTGTAGTAGTAGTTGCTTCACACACTCTCTCACTTAACGTTGTCACATGAATTAGGCGATTTGGATAAGGCTCGGACGGCATCTTGTTGCTCTCTTTGGTTTCATTCATGGAGTAAAAAGGACTTGTCCAAATCCACGTAACATTCACATGATTCACTTTAATTTTTCAATTTCAAATTATAGCAAAGCATCCTTCAAAAAAAACCAAGAAAAATAAATTAAAAAAAAAAAACAAAAGAGAAATTTTATATATATATATATATATGTATATATTATGTGTGTGCGTGTAGGTAAATTATGTTGTACTGTCCGATAGAGAAGAGGGTACGAGTTTAAAATTGTTTAAGAAAAATATGTAGTCATATTACGTATGCACTAATGACTTGAAACGCACACGTATATAACATATGATTATCTTTAGAATAGTTAAATTATATTTAAATATTTTTTAAAAATAATTAAAATAATGTTTATTAATTAATTAAATTAAAAAATTAATTATAATAAATAATAACAAAAATTTTGTTGATAATTTATTTATTTAGTTAATTAGTTAAAATAATTTTGTTTAGTTTTTTTAATCTTCTAAATGTAACTTCTTGCTATTATTGCCTTTTATTAAAGTTTATGAACTACTTCACAAAATTTGTCAGTAAATAAATTTTAGAGAAAATTGGGGAGGACCACAAAAATTGTTTTATTTTCAATTTGGGCACCTGACAGTATTTCATTATTATCAACTTCTAATATTACTTTGTATCATTTTTTTTTTTAATATACTAAATGAAACTTCAAATTTTTATTTATAATTTTAAATTCTAATTGTGAAATTTTTTTTTTCTAAAATAATAAAAGTAATTTTATTAAAAATTAGTATAATACCTTTTAAATTTTATAGATTTTAATAAAATTTAAAATGTATTTTTCCAATTTTATACTTTGTAGGGGGGTAAATTGTATGAGTTAAATAACGTATCTACAAAATTCTGCTTAATTATAATAATTAATTTAAATTAATCAAATTAACAAATCATTGACTCAATTTGAGCTTCATTTTGACTCGGCCATACATATATATATATACACATGAGAGAGGAGTACAATTAGATCATTTTGAGACCTCAGCAAACAAAATAAAAGACAAAAAGGAAATTAAACTCTTTTTTTAACAGCTGTATATTTATATAAGAAACTATTGTTTCATAAATATAAAAATAATGTTCCCGTTTTATGAGGCAAACATTTGGTTATTACCTGTGGGTCCCATTTGATATAATTAAACAATATATATATATATATGTATATGTATTCATAAACACATATTGCAATATTATTGGTGTAATACCTTAATTAATTTTAATATAATTAAAATTAATATATAAATATAATCTTTTAATTTTTAAACTTTTATTTACTATAAAAATAAAGAAAAATAAGTGAATAATAAAATTGGAAACAATTTTGAAAAAAAAAAGTGAAAATTTAGGTTCTGCGTGTGTTTTTGAAAGAAAAATAAAAAACTGTGAGCTTAAATATAATTTAAAAAAATTGTGTCACCTAGAACGCCTAATCAGCAACTTCGACGGACCGGAGCGCGCCGTGTGACAAGACACGCTGACGCGGTGCCACGCGGGAGGCCACGCTGGCGATCTGTGTGTCTGCGATCGGACAGTCCAAATTTGTTCCCGCGCACACGGACGGTCCGGATCTGTTTTTCCTTTAAACACGATCAGATGACTCAAATCAAATCGGGATGAACGATGCAGATCCACTTCCTATTTAAACGCGATCGGACGGTCTATATCAAACCGCGATGAACGATCCAGATTCACTTCCTATTTGAACGCGATAGGACGATTTATATCAAACATGATGAACGGCCCAGATTAAAAAGAGATGGATATAAATAACCCTCTTCACATTAAACCCTAACCCTAGCCGACAGACCCCTCCGCTGGAGAAGAAAAGCCAATTGCCGGGAAAGGAGTCGACCGCCGCGCCGGAGCCACTTCTGACCGCCAAAAGAGGTAAAATTTTTATCTTTCGCTCGAAATTCAATTTTGAACACCTACATGGCTAAATCGGAACAAAAGAACCGACGAATGAGCCGGAAACTACGGAAAAAGCCTGACGTTGCCGCCACGGAAAAAAGTAAAAATACCTTCAATGAGACCCTTCTCGATTCCTGTTTCGTGCAATTTTTTCATCATTATAATCACAATTTTTTTCTCTACAGGTTGATTAAAACAAAATACCCAACCGCGAAGGTGAGCTAGCGGAGATACCGCACCAGAAAACTCTGCTGGTAAGCTTCAGTTTTTTTACTTTTTCAACTAACTGATGCCCCTTAACATGTTTTCTCACAGGGATGAGTGCAAAACTGGCCAAAATCGATCGAAAATGGCAGAAAACGACTAACCCGAGACAAACCACCGTCGCTGAAGCACGTCGGAGCCGCCATGTCGGAATTCTTGAATTAGCTAAAAGGGGTTTCTAACATTGATTTTGGATTTTTTGGAGTATTTATAGGTACTTGGAGTGTGTTTTAATCCCGAAAGAAAATTTAGGGAACTCGAAGACCGCCAACAGGCACAGCCAAAAGTTTAGCGTTCGGACATCAATTCGAGTAAAAATCCATCACCTTATTCCCTGTTATGAAATTGAAGTTTAATTAATAATAATATGGTATTTTGTGTAATTTAGAAAATATTCATAATTAATTACAGGTCACTAATAGAGTCAGAACTAGTTATTTATAAATGTTTGTCATGTTTACCTTATTGGTTGATTTTACAATTTCGAATGTATGATAATACACTGAAATTGGTATGATGCGATTATGTTTCCTGGATGCATGTATTACTTGTTCTATGTGATTAAAGTTAAATTGGAAAACTAAAAATTAAAGGAAAACGAAAAATTATTTGATTAAGTAAATAGATGAATAATAGTCGTACTGGATATCCTGAGATATGGTGGACGGACCGAGTACATAAGGAACCCTACCGTGAACGTTGCTTCATACCGGACGGGGTATCGATGATTAGTATTTTGGTGCTCATACTGGACAGCGTATGGGGACTACCCGTTTCACCCTCATGCTGGACGGGGTATTAAGGGATGATATTTTAGCGCTCATACCGGACGAGATGTGAGGACGGTCTGTTAATTAAAAATATAAAACAAAAGGGTTCACGCGTAGTAGGGACATTCCTATGGACCTTCATGGATATCAATAGCCTGATAAAAGAGAAAGTTGTTGTAACCGACTGATTGCATATGAGATTATGATATTATTTGTGTTATTATGTAACGGCCCCAGAAATTCAAAAAGAAATACATATAATAATCTGAGTGCGGAAGCGAAATAAAAGATTAAGGTTAACATCCCTTACACAATAACTTAAAAGTACTAAACAATATCACGGAATAAGTTCTCTAAAGAAAATACAAGAAATGAGAAAAATAAAGGAAACTATAAAGTATTTAGTATATACTCGACGTCTTCTTGTGGATCGGGCTCGGGAACCAGGTCCTCCTGATCTGAAATTGTTAAATAAGGAATGAGCTACACTAGCCCAGTAAGAACATCATACTATATCACTGTTATAGAAGTAAAGGTTGGTAGAAAACCAAAAACAACCAATGGAGCACAAATTTTAAACAAATTTATTTATCAATAATCAACCATTTACTGTCCATTTACCGCAGTGAGATTTATAAAACGACCTATGGAAACAATAACATTATAAATATCATGAATTCATATATAATCTGTAACATAGCACATATCATACTTTTATATTCAAATCATCAAACAACAATTGCCCTTTTTTATCAGCCTACTAGTATCCATGGGGATCCATAAGAGTCCCCGCTATACGTGAACCATTTCCTTTAACAATCTTAATTTCAGGGTCATCCCTATACCCAGTCCGGTATGAGCACCAAAATAATAAAGCTCAATACCTCGTCCGGTATGAGGGTGAAGCGGGTTGTCCCCATATCCCGTCTGGTATGAGCGCCAAATAACCAAGTCTCTATACCCCGTCCGATATGAGACAACGT